ACTTCGAGACAATGCCACCTGGTCATTTAAAATGTTACCCTTGAAATAACCTCGGGTCACTCGGTCACTCCGCCGTACACTGTGTTGCACCAAGTTTCAGTTACATAAGATGTGTATTTGTGATTGTAATTCTTACGGAGCATGTCTTTGGAAAAGTTCCTCGCAACTGCACGGTGTCTGACCAGCCTTCCCTGAATTTTTGATATTTGTACTACGTAACACTTGTGGTAGGTTGCTGTGCCCGTGCACGTGAGCTTGGAGAGATCTCACATGTTCACATGTTCGATGTACGGCTTCGTTTAGTGCAGCTAGGCAATAATCCTTGTCATTCTTAATTGTCTTAGTATAACGACATGGCCAGGTGGATATTCCTAAACTGTCTTTTTGTACCGTAGGCTTATGAAAATCAATACACGGGAAAGGAAGCGCACAACAAGGAATTTGGAAGTATTTGCTTATCGTAAAACGCCATGAGCAAGCGGCCTAGAGAGTGGGACCTCGCATCCGATGAAAGCGAGAAGATCCCACGCGTCGTTGGGTTGTTAGGCGTTAAAAGCTGGTCGGACTTCCAGTCAATCATGAATGTTTCCGACAACTTTCCCTGTTCGTCAGAAGACATGTTCGGCGCACAATCTGTCTTCGCCTCCCCAGCGCCACAAGGATTTGAGGTCGTTGGCGTGAAGCTACTTTTGGAGCTCCTCAGCGAGCCAGTCATTTGGTTTAAAGAAACCGTACTCCATCCAGACAATCGGGAGGAACCCCTCTACCTCCTCCTATACTCGGTCCTGTCCAAACTGGCACTGCTAAGTCTCGACCAAGGTTCACTGGTTATCTCCTCAGCCGGTGCGGACTCCTTGATTGCCGCCTTCAATGCGCACTATCGTGCAGCTCACGTCATTGTCGGTCCTCAGGTCCTGATGATCCACTTGACGACGGGGCTGCAATTGATGCCGCTCGGGAAGCCGCATGGGACAAAGTTTATGAAATTACCGGTGACTATGAATCCTCTGACCATAAACTGGCGGAGCGGCTTTTCAGGTCACCTGTGCAGCCCGGTGAGTGCCGCCTGCGTGCATGGAAGGAACATGTCGTGACCTGTGCACCTTCCGCCACCGCATTTAAGTTCAAGAGGGACTCCCGAGGCGTGGAAGAAACCATGTACGGTAGGGCCGTTGCAGAGTACATGACTATGCTCCGGAGAATTGTTAGGAGGTAGCAGCTGTTTGATTGAAACGCGACTTTTGGTTATCTCAAATGGAACAGCTATGGATTTTACATGTCGGCTAGTTCGCAATCAATGCACAGCCGGGGGTCGGGTATGGTAGGTGGTTTACTGTCGTGGTCGCCATGTACCCGTGTACGACTTAGCTACTCAATCACCAAAGTCTGCAATTTGTGAGTACATAACATGGTGGGTTAGTGCAGTGCACGCTGAATGGCTCTCGTCCTTAACAAAGTGTGCTGGTTTCTAAACGCCTTACTCCCTCTCCTGCACACATCTCGACTCTTTTCCCCTGCCTTACAGTCTCTAGAGCCCCCGGCCCTATTATGGCCCCCTGTGCTGCGTTTTAACTGGGTCACGGATGTGGTCGGTGATTAGAGTGATGACTGGCCGTACGGCAGCTTGGCGGCCCAACTGTGTGTGCACATGTGCACCCTTTTATTCAAAGGCCGGTTGGGCTTCACTGACTGTTGGTTACTGCTCCCTGAATTGGGAGAGGAGGCTTGGTGCTTCAGAAGGTTCAAGAGCTGATCTAGGTTTCTGTATGTGTGTTAGCAGGATCAATGAATTCCATGCCTTCCCATGCGTCCTGTAAATCCTGTCAGACAAGGGCTAGGAATTCCTCTGGCTGCTGGCATGTGTCGTGTTTCACTCCTGCATCCACATCTAGCTGCTAACAAGCTTGCCACAAGTGGTTTTGCCCATGGGATGGGATTTGCAATGCTGCAGGTCGTTCTGAGCTTGTTGTCGTCCGTGTAAACCCCGGAGATAGGATATCACCGTATGAGTGTCTGGAGACGAATGTTCGGTCATACTGCAAGGCCGTGATGCTGGTGGAGCCGAAGTGTAGGATGGTCTTCACAGACGACATATGGCAGCCCATGGCAGAAGCTACAGCGCTGGCGATCCTGAACGGCAAGCAAGATCCGGTGACGGTGCTGCTCACGGATGCTAAGTCCTGGTATTTTGCCTCTGTGCAGCTGGTCGGAGAGATCGACGAAGAGGGACTTCCCCCGCCCACTCAGAACGAGTTCCAGGCATGTGGCTACCGCCTCCGTCTCTTCGCTTGCAAACATTTCACCTGTAATCTCCTATCCGAATCCGGTGATAGAAATTATGCATGTGTGGCTAAGGTGAGGCCGAAATTTGGGGGCCAGTTATCATGCAGATAGGGGCTTCGGCTGCATAGTGTGGGTGGCCGGATGTTGTCCGTTCAGGATGTTGTCTTTCTGGGGGCTTTAGGAAGCACAGTTCGTGAGGCTAGGAGCCATGAAGGTGTTCCGACAACTTGATTACTAATTCGGTTGCCTTGATGGAAGCAGTGTGTAGAGTCCATATGCTGCGATGTATGGTATGGGCCTGGCGAGGGTGAATGTTTTACAGGGTCAGCAAGTCCATCTGTCGTACAGTACGGCATACAGAAGGTGATGCATTGCTGGAGTATGCTGGGTATGCATGTTGAGGGGCCTTTTCGGCAGTCAGCTACACCTCTTTGCAGGTAGGTAATCCTCTCCAAACGTCCCCTTGGTCCTGCAGGTTTTCGCCCACATGCACACCGTGTTGTACCCTGGCGTAGACATCTCCCAGGTTGCAGCTCGGGCGGAGCGGGGCAGTGGTGTGCTTAAAAGTCTGGCGGACAAGTGGGCGGAACCCTGTATCAGAGATGTGGAAGAGATGCAGAGGCTGAACGACATTCGGCGGAAGATAAGGGAAGAAGAAGAACGAGAGAAGGCTGCAGAGCAGAAGCGGAGGGACCACGAGCAGTGGATGAAGGACCACGAGCAGGAGATGAAGGCCTTAAAGGAAGAGATTGAGGCTCTCAAATGGCAGCTGCAGCAGCAGCAACAGCAGCAGCAGCAAGGCCAGTAATGGTAGTGTGGTTGAATTGGCCTACGGCGGCTGGACAAGGCACTGTTGTGCTTCCATGTGTGTACGAGCATGCAGCATTGGAAGCGCGAGTAGGGAATGTAGGAGGTCGCTGTTGCAGCACAACAGCAGGCGGTGTATAGGATAGTGTCAAGCTGGGATGCATGCGATGCTGATGATCGTTGCATGCGTTGGTACTGCATAAAAATGGATAGGAGTAGATGGCTGCAGAGAGTCCGAGAGGTCTTGGACATTAGTTTGGGATTGGCATAGTGGAGGTGCAGTGCACAAGATTAGGTGCTTCATGTGGACCTGCAAGTAATGCTTCGGAGCTAGCAGCTTGCACCACATCTCCGGTGCCAAATAGAGACAGCAAGCTAGTCTATTCTTTACCTAATGCACGTCCGAATCGACTAGTAATGGATTTTTTACCTATCACTCAATTCTCGATTGGCATAGGTGTAGGGTAACCCGTTACCAAGGGGTAACAACGGTGTTGGGTAACCCCTTATCGCGGGGTAACAAAGGGGTCCCGTGAATTCCTGTCGATATCACTGGATTCTCAATCCGTTAACAACCGCCGCCGAAACTCCTTCAAGTACATCATCAGACGTGATTCCTAGCTGCGCGATTGCTGTTGCCATATCCCCGTTGGCTATATTGCTGAGCACGTGCTGCTTGAGGCCGTATTCCAGCGATTCTAATTTTCGAAGGTTTTGGGGTTTTGAAAGCATTTGAACAAGCAAAATTCGACATTGGTGGTAGTATTAGCGGAGGACATACAGGGTTGGTTGGACTCCGATTATTTGACAATTTGCGAGCTGAACATGAGTATTTAGGTTGGGAAAGGTCGTGTTTCGCCCAAAACTTTATGTAGCGCCAGTTGCGATGTCCGTTCTAGGGCAAGCATGCGTTTACCACCTTGCAAAGGAAGACCTTATGCCACATCTTCTACCACATCTTCTACCACAGACCCTAGGGTCTGCCATGGCCCCTTCAAAAACGTTTTTTTTGTTTCTTTTCTGTACGGTTTGTGCTTCGAACTCACTTCCCCTTCTGCTTGGTAACACAGCATTTTTTCCTGAAGGCCTGTACCTCTCATCTGATTTCAATGCTGCCGCTCTCTAACCCGTTGCTTGCATCTGATTCCCAGGTCGCCTCTGTAAGAGCCTGGCTCAGGACTTAAGATGGGTCTTACGGATAGCACCCGGACACCAAAATTTCTGCCCCATACGACAGCAAGGGCCTGACCTGGACATTAAAACACCGTAACAGATCTGGCAAATAATGCGGTAAAGTAATGCGGTACGGCCCGTACACGCCTCCTGTTCTCAGTTTCCTCCTGCCCAAATGTCCGGTACAAGCAGGGCGGGAGTAAATGGGTCTGCCCCGTTTACGAACCCCAGCATCTCTACTGCGGTGCGCTGGCGGTTCACTTCGCATTGCCTATCGTTGAGTAGCGGTTGGAAATAATTCCGCCATACTTCAATGTCGGTGACGGGGCATGGGCCCTTCGTACCGTCCGAAAGGTTTTGCCACAACTCTTTGGGATGCCCATGATAGCTGTTAATGAAATCACGGCATTCTTTGTGCTCAAAAGCCACCCAAGCGTGCCAAAGCTCCCTGTTATACTCCTCCCTATCCAGGACAGGGAGGACCTCCCGATATTCCTGACACGCTCCCTTCCTTAAACGCGCGCTGCTATAAGCTTAGTATCCACATCATTTGTGAGCACTCTTCATTCCGCTAGGGCACGTGCCCTGATCATCCATCCTGCCTGCTTCTTCTTTCACCCCAGACAAATATTGCCTGCAATCCCCTGCATGAAGAAGAAGAACGAGAGAAGGCTGCAGAGCAGAGGACGAAGGAATACGAGCAGATGACGAAGGAAGCAGAGCAGAGGACGAAGGTCTTAAATGAAGAGAATAAGGCTCTCAAATTGCAGCTGCAGCAGCTGCGGCAGCAGCAGCAAGGCCAGTAATGGTTGTGTGTTCTACGAACTGTAACCCCATGACCTAGTGAAATGTATCCCTAAATGTAATCGTAAGCGACGGAAGGCGATATATTGTACATGGCGTGGCCCGTTGATGACACAAGTTCTTAGCGGGCGTCAGCGATGCAAGCCGTTCCTAGTGTAGAAGAGCGCCTAACAAGTCCTATGTGGGCGTCGAGAAACTGGCAATGACGTCATCATTGCCAGTTGGTTGCTTGATGGTTTGGGCATCATTGTTGCAAATCATATTGTTCGTTTGAGTGCGTGTTTGGTCTTAGGGGTTCAGGCGACGGGTATACGCCCCTGCGCGGCTGCCGGTGTGCATCCAGCTAGACGTCGCCGGCTATAAATATTACGACAGCACAATGTACCACAGCACAATGGCATTGTGCTGCCTGTTCGGCGCGCTTCTTTGGCGTGGTTAATAACTTCGAGCTGCGCAGCTTGTGGCCGAGTCCATAACACTTCTTGCATAGTATTTTACGTTTTTGTAACATAAGTGTGAGGCTCTCCGCTAAAACACTCTCCGGTTTTGTGTTTTGTCTGGGCCCTCCCACCGACGGCAGTGACATCCAGATCTATGCCGCCGTAGCAAGTCTGCCGACCTTTCTTGTTTGAGAATCTCAATAACAAGTGTGTACTCCAAAAAACGTCACGACGTTCTTGTGCTTGCACTCCTATGCCGTACGGACTGCCCGGCGAATCAAACGGGGGTCAAGTGGCTGCATCGGGGCCGAGCCCCTTTTCGGCTTTGAAAAGCCACCCCTCTAGTCGAACTCCATTTCGTTGAAACAACGCGGCGGCCTTCCTGGTGGAGCCGCCTTGGGTTTACGGCCAGAAGAAGTAACGTGAAGTGTTTAAGCTCGAAGTGTTTGGGGTGAAGGAGCGGTCCTTTCGTCCCCAGCATGATCTTCCCTGCTATGAACTTGAGAGGGCTGGGGCACGTTCGGCAACTCGAATTTCGAGCTCTTAAAACTGGACACTTAAATCCAACAAAGGTTTTGCGGATTTGCGCGAAGCAAACGCAGCGAGACGACGCGAGGCGAAGTACAGGAATCGCGCAAAACGACCGCACTTAGGGTTACGCCTGATCCTCCGAAAACACATTCGAATGGGATGTCGTTACTTCGTGTGCTACTGGCACGTGGAGAGGAACTCGACCGCGCTTCCAAGAAATTTTGAAACGTGGGTCTCCCTATGGCTGGCAACTGGAGGCCAAGGCCCAGGATGCATGTCAGGCAGGCGAAAAAGCAGGCACACGCTTGCGGTACTGAGCAACAAAACCCCACACCTCCCACCCCGATTTCCCCCCGTGGTATCGCCAAGTAGCAGCACCTTAGTCCGTATGTACGTAAGCTGTGCGGCAGCGTTGCCGCCTTCCCTGCCTCTTTTAAGGTCAGCAGTTTCGCCGCGTCATGTCAAGAAATTTCTACCCAAGACAGGTCAAGAAAGGATCACAGAGTCGTGAGAGCGCGTCCCAAAGTCTCAACCAAACACAACCGGAGCACAGAGCGCGGGTCAGGGTCACTTACGGTAAGGCAAAACCACGGCACACACAGCGTGACAGACCTTGCAACTGAAGCCGCCCTGAGCTTCATCCTGGACGGCTGCGGGGCCCATTCCGCAACACATCGCACTATGGGGCGGGGCTGCCTGCCACGTAAGTCACGTAAGCGGCAGACATTCGTACGTGCTGAATGTGCGAACCTTTGGCGTGAGGACAACGCTGAAGCTGCGGTAAAAGTCAGGGAAATTCAGGGGGGGAACCACCGACAGCTGCATCAGGCCCGACGCCGCTGCGGCGGCCGTCCTTGAGACTCCTCGCCGCCGGGGCGGACCTCGGCGTCAGACTCCGCTGCCAACTGCGCCGCAGCTGACGGCTGTCGCCGCGGCGGCGCCGCACTTGCCGTACTGGCCGCCGGCACTGCCGCTGCATCCGGTTCGTTCTTCATGGCCTTAAGCTTGATCCGAATCTTCGGCATGACGACGGGTGCCTGCGGCGCCGCAGGTGCTGATGGCGCCCCTGCTGCCGCTGCTGCCCCTGCTGCCGACGCTGGCGCCACGGTGGGCGGATGGGGCTTGGATGCGCTGGCGCGTGACGGCAGCACGCCCCCTGGAGTCTCTTGAGTAGATGGAAGCGGCGGCCCACCGGTTGAGCCCGCGATGGAGTGGCGGCGGGGAAGCAGCCCTGCACCTGGCGGTGCCCCGCCCCCGGCGGCGGCGTTGGCGCCACCCCCGCCAGCAGCAGCGGCGGGCGTCGACACGACGTCTGCAACCGGAAGCGGCACATTTTTAATTTTAATCTTCAGTGTCCGAATTGGCGCCGCCGGAGGTGCCGCCCCTACCGAAGCTGGAGGTGATGCCGCGGCCGCCGCTGGGGCTGGAGCTGCTGGCGGTGCGGCTGCCGGAGCTGCTGCCGGTGCTGCTGCCGCCGGTGCTGCCGTCACCGCCACCGCTGAAGGAGCTGCCGCCGGTGCCCGTGCTGGCGCTGGGGAAGCTGCTGCCGCCGGCGCCGCAGCAGGTGTGGGCACAGTCGGCGTCGGTGTCGGCACCGCAGGAGCTTTCTGCTTTGCCTGCTGCCCAGCCTTCCCGATGACAGTGGACGCTGCTGCTGCTGCTGCTTCTGTGCCTGTCGTAGGTGCAACACCTGTCAGCGCCGCTCCGTCAGCCGTCGCTCGTCGCCGCTCCTCCGCCGATGGCGGAGGCGGAGGCGGACCCCCGCTGCTCGACGTCGCCGGCCGCTTCGGCACTGGCTGCGGCGGCCGCGACCCAGCGCTACCCGCCCTGGCGGCCGTACCCGCCGCAGCCGCCGCCGCCGCAGGCCCTCCTGGCATTTGACTCGGTGTCGGCGAAGAGGCCATAGCTTTCTTTTGCTTGAACGCCGCCGCCGCCGCCGCTGCCGCCGCTGATCCCGGGCCTGCACCAGCGGGTGCGGGTGCAGACGCTGCTCCTTCCGCCGCACCACCAGGCCCTGCCCCGCCGCCGCTCGACGCATTCGGCCGCGGCGCACGACCAGCCGGCCACTTGCGTGCTGACGGCGCCGCCGCCGCCGCCGCTGCTGCTGCTGCCGCTGCTGCGACGGCCTCCCGGGGCGGCGACGTCGTCGGCGTAGACCTGCCGGCCGCCGCTCGATCGCCTGACGGCGGACGGGACCCTGTCGCAGCAGCCCGCGCCGTCGCCGCCGACAGACCTCCATCCATCTCTCTCGACCTCGGCGGGCTCGGGCCCTGGGAGGACGTCCGGTGCTGCGGCTGCGGCTGCGGCGGCCTTCGAACTGACGGCGACGGCGGCGACGCGCCAGTCCGAACCGGTGACACGGTTCTCGCAGCCGACGCCGACGCCACGCCCGGCGCTTTTGCCGCTGGCTGCGCGACACGGTCCCTCACCCCGGAGGGACCCCCGGGTCTTGGCGGTCTTGGCGGGGACGGCCCCGAGGGGGGCCTGTTGGGGCTCGTACTGCTTCCTGGGCTGTGTGCGGACAAAGCTCCCGTCGCGGACCCTGGCACCGGCCTAGGCCTGGGCTTAGTGCCAGCCATTCCCGGTCGGGACTCCGTCGGGCTGATGGAGCGTCCCCGGGCTGCGGCGGCAGCCGCAGCGGCAGCAGCGGCGGCGGCGGCGCCAGGCCCAGACTTTAGCGGCGGTCCCCGACGGGGATCGCGTGGGGGACCGCCGCCGGCGACAGCACCGCTGCCGCCGCCGCTGCGTGGCGACGTCGACGTCGAGCCTGGCCGCGGCGGCGATGGCGAATACGCCGGCGGCCGGAGCGGCGAGACCCCAAACGTTGGCAGTCTGCGTGGGGGCGCCTCGCCTGTGGAAGGCGCTCTGGATGTAGGCGCCGGTGCAGTAGCATGGCCAGCGGCGGCGGCAGAGGGCGCAGTAGCGGCCGCAGGTCCTCCCGCGGCTGCCGCCCCTGCGGATGCTACGGCCCCGGGCTCAGGAGGTGTCGTGGGGCCCCGGCCTGAGGGACTCGCCTCCGACGGCGTGGCGGCGGCCCCCGGCGACGCCGCAGCGTCCGGCCGCGTCGGATTGTGTACGGCACCAGCGGCGGCGGCGGCTTCCATAGCGTGGACTTGTGAGGGCGGCTGCCCCGGCGACCTGTACGGAAGCTCGAGAAGAGCACGCGTGCACGTTTGTGAGCCCTCGAGATTATTCAATCTGTATAATCTGTACAGGTACTAGCCGACCGGCACTGACCGACCGACCGACCGACCGACCGACAGGTACTAGCCGACCGGCACTGACCGACCGACCGACCGACCGACCGACCGACCGACCGACAGGTACTAGCCGACCGGCACTGACCGACCGACCGACCGACCGACCGACAGGTACTAGCCGACCGGCACTGACCGACCGACCGACCGACAGGTACTAGCCGACCGGCACTGACCGACCGACCGACCGACAGGTACTAGCCGACCGGCAACACATCCGGAGGCACACAGGAAGCAAGGAAGACATCAACGAAACTTTTTACCCTGTGACCGCCTAAAGACCATTCCACAAACTTACTGAGCCGAAGACTTCCCCATCGTAGCCTCCGAAACCACGGGCTGGCTGACGTGGCCTGCAGCCACCGGCCCCGCAGCTGCCGCGCTGCCGTCCGCGGCTGAGGCAGCGGCGCCAGCCGACGACGTAACGGCGCCCGGTCGGACGGTCGAGATCTTAATACGCTTCAGCGCCGGCATTGCTTGCGCCGCAGCGGCCGCGGCGGTGCCTGCTGTACCGTCGTACATACCGGCAGTGCCGACGGAGCGTGCAGGGCCGCCGGCGGCATGAGGCGGCATGCCGTTGGCGTGGCTACGCAGCGGACGACCCGTCACATTTGACGGCTCTGGAAGGGCCAACTCCGCGGCCAGTGCGTCCTCGGATGAGGTCCTGAGGACCGCGTGGGGACGAGCCAGGCCCGAAGGAAATCAGTCGCTCGGTTGGTTAGTAGTTGGTTGGTCGGTTGGTTGGACATGTCCCCCCTCTCGTATTCTCCCCATCCTCCTCCTTCCCGTCTCAAGGCCCATGAAGCCCGAGAACCCCCTATACACCACCTCCCATTCAGACTCCTCCTCCACACACCTTTCCCCCCCCTTTCCCCCTTCACTTCCCGACACAACCTGCCTTCACCTTGCGACCTCTCCAAGCTTCCCACCCCAACAAGCCCTCCTATCTCC